TAAGTTATTTAGCTTTTATATTTAGTACTTGTTTGCCAGCTTATAAGCACGCTTGATATAAATTGAGACAAAATTTATCATACATACTTATTTCACAATTGGTAAATCACAATGGAAAAGTGGTTTGTAAAGAAGGCTCATAGCACCCAAAAAAAAAACTTTAATTTGTTTATATACTTCTATTGATCTAAACTCTATGGATCACTGTAAACGTCGCAGAGCTAATATGTAATTCGCTTCCTCTCAAACTCTGTTTCTTGTCGTTTAACTCCAACCGAAAAATAATAAAGAATATTTTTTCTGATTATAAATATCAAAACTAGATGATTAATTTGTTAAAATTAAAATAAATTAGGTAGGTTGGTTAAAAACATGTTACTTTTCTTAAAATATCCCCTTTAATAATTTATATTGGAAACTGTTGCATTCATAAAATCCCCTTTATTATATGAAACCGATAATGATAATTTAAAGAAATAATATATAAATTTAGAAGATAAAATTGAATGAAATCTTATATTTCAAATCAAAACAAACCCTTTAATAAACTTTAGAGGGAGTAGCAATTTTTTTTTTTTTTTTGCTTAAAGCCCCCGCTATCCGGCACTCTTTGGGTAAAAGATTAATCCGAGATTTGTCCAGGACGGGCGTGTCGCGTTTTGAACCCAGGACCTGTACGCGTAGAAGTGCCTTACTACCCACTTTCTAACCATCCGGCCACTAGAACGCAAACGAGGGAGTGGCAATATTCATACATCACAATCAATCCAAATCCATAAAAAAAAAAAAAAACAATATTCATCCACGAGAAACATTCAATCACCAGATAGTGTAACAACTCATAAAAATTAATATCGTATTGAACTTGATAATATCGTATTGAACTCCCGTAATACCCAATAAAACCAATGCTGGTGCTCCAAAACGTCTATATCCATCGTCACCTGTGATATATTTGACAAAAGGTGATACAAATGATTATGTATAAAAAATAGTGATATAATATTAGAATCATAAATGACAATATGAACCCTGTGTTATATATTTTTTACAAAAGTTAATATAAATAATACCGTGTCTAATTAAAACCTGATGCCATTTGAGCTACAAATTCATGACATATAAGAACATTTATTATGCAAGCTAAATACTGAAATTTTGTGATTAAAAACTTGATCAAAATCACAGAATCTAATTCCATGTTCCTAAGTTGATGCTCACAAGTCTGTCTTATAAAACAAACAGATAGATAGCAATATTCCAGTTAATTACAAAGAAATGTGTAACAGAATCGAAGTTGAGAATCTGCATGAAAAGCCTATCGTAAAATGTCCAAAAATATTGTTCCAAGCTTGTTGGCAGTTTATTTCGTACGAAATCTTAAAGCCCAACTAAACTTTTCAATTTTTCATGCTAGAGATATTAAAATAAAAAATAAAAATAGAAGAAAGAAAAATTAAATTTTATATACATTTTTTAAAATTTTTTGTCATACTTCTACATTATCAGTTCATTTAATTTATTATATTTTATGTGATTTCTTTGTCTTATTCCTCTAATATTTTGAGGCATAAGAACATCTTTTGTAATTTAATTAAGTTAATAATAGTGATAAAATAATCAATTCAAATATCAATGTATGAACTTAAAATACTGATTATAATATGCTAACATATCACTACAAAAAAACAGCTGATTAGCGACGGAATTTGCGACGGAAACAAATTCCGTCGCTAATTTCTGATGGAATTGCGTCGGAAATTCTGTCGCTAATTTTTTTTGACGGATTAGCGACCGAATTTTTCCGTCGCTAGTTAGCGATGAAATTTCTGTTCGTCGCTAATCCGTCAGAAAATCCGTCAGTAAATATTTAGCGACGGAATTTTTTCTGTCGGAAATTTCCGTCGCTAAATTGTTTGTCATAGAAGTTTTTGTCACTAATTCCGTCGCAATTTCGTCGCTAATCCGTCACTAATTTTAAATTTTGTTATTTTAAATTATAATCTTACAAAAATTATATTATAACAATTAAGAATATAATGATTTAAAAACATTTTTAATTATAAAACAAATTGATATACTTATGGAGTTGGTGTTAATAAAGATATCGTCATTATTCATGTCATCATTATGTATATACTGAAAATAGAAAGATAATTTCTTAGAAAACTTATTTATATTTTGTTAAAATAAATTCCTCTTGATTATTAATAATAATTAAAAAATATAATAAGATTATGAATAAATTTTTTAGACAAAATGATATAAGAAAGAAATAATTTTATCATATGTAAAATATATTAAAATATATAATATATGATAGAAATTCAAAACGATTTAATAAATTTATATGAATGCAAATTAATATTGAAGTGAATTTTGAATTTCAATCATTAAACAATAAAATTTAATCACGATATAATTAATACCCATGATAGATTGATTTTGGTCTTAATACAAAAACAAATGGTATATATAAAAAATTTTAAGAAAATAAATTACATAGGATATATATACAAGCAGGAGAATACTGTTTATCATAATCTATTCAAATTATTTAATTTTTTATATAGAATAATTTATTAGATTTTATTATAGTAGTTATTTTTTGAATAACAAGATTTTTTGACTAATTATAAATGATTTTCTTCAAATATATAAAACACATATAGATAATATAATATAATGTAATATAATACATATATCATTAAATTGTATATCTTATCAATGTTAATTAAAAAATAAATTTAAAAAATATTTATAAAAAAATTATTTATGATTTAAAATTCAAGATTAGTGCGGTTAGAAATTAAAATTATATTAAAAATATTTTTTTAAGAATAAAAAATTATTTAAAAATTATTTTTTCATTAAAATAGTTATTATTAAAATTATCATATAGTATATTTTTAGTTTTTAATAATATATAATTGTTTGTGTAAAATAATATTATATATATTTAATTTTACATAATAAGTCAACAGGTTCATTGCAGCTCAACTGGTAAAACCGCACGCGCACACAGAGGAGATCCTAGGTTCGAGCCATGGAGAAGTCACTTTGAAGAGAAAATTATGTGGTCGTAACACGTGGCAGGCAAAGGTGACATGTGATGTGGCAGCAGAGGTGAGATGGCGGGTGAGGTGGCAGAGACACGTGGAGGTGGTCCCCAGTGATGACGTGGCAATTGGTAGAGGTGCCACGTGGCATTTTATTTTATTTTTAAAAAAAATGGGGTTAGCGACGGAATTTTTCCGTCGCTAATTTTACTACGGAAATTTCGGTCAAGAATTAGCGACGGATTAGCGACGGGAAATTTCCGTCGATAATTAGTGATGAAATTTTCCGTCGCTAATTCGTCACTAATTAGCGACAAAGGAATTAGCGGCGAAACAAATTCCGTCGCTAATCCGTCGCTAGTTCGTCGCTAAATAAAAAATTCCGTCGCTAAATTCTGTCGCTAAAAACATGTTTTTTTGTAGTCGTTGTGTAGTCATTATCACTATCTGAAAGCAATGAAAGCAAAGAATGACATGATTAATCAAACTCAATGACACTAAATAAAAGGGAAAACTAAATAAAAGTGAAGAAACATTGTACCAGGCTAATAAAAATTATGAAGTCCCAAATGCAAATGACGTAAAGTGATGAAAACCAAGCTCATCTCAAATATGATATATCTTCCATGAGTAAATCAATCTGCAATGATATACAAGTAATTAACTATAAGTTATAATTGTGTGTGTGTACAAAGACCAATAGTAATAATACTAGAACAACAATACCTTTGCCTTTGAGAGAACCACTACAAAAAACATGGTTTTAGCGACGGAACAAATTCCGTCGCTAATTCCTTTGTCGCTAATTGATTAGCGACGGAATTTCAATTCCATCGCTAATTAGCAATGAATTTTCCGTCGTTAATTACCGACGGAATTTTTTCGTCGCTAACTTGATTTTTTTTAAAAAAATAAAATGCCACGTGGCACCTCTACCAATTGCTACGTCATCACTGAGACCACCTCCACGTGTCGCTGCCACCTCACCTCCGCTTGCCACGTGTCACCACCATACTTCCCTTCTCAAAGTGACTTCTCCATGGCTTGAACCCAAGACCTCCTCCGTGCGCACGTGCGGCTTTACCAGTTGAGCTGCAATGAACCTGTTGACTTATTATGTAAAATTAAATATATATTATATTATTTTACACAAACAATTATATATACATATATATTATTAAAAACTAAAAATATACTATATGATAATTTTAATCATAACTATTTTAATGAAAAAATAATTTTTAAATATTTGTTTTACTATTTTTATAATGTTTTATTTTTTAAAAATATTTTTAATATAATTTTAATTTCTAATGACACTAATTTTGAATTTTACATCATAAATAATTTTTCATAAATATTTTTTAAATTTAGTTTTTAATTAACATTGATAAGATATACAATTTAATTATATATATATTACATTACATTATATTATATTATGTATATGTGGTTTATATATTTGAAGAAAATCATTTACAATTAGTCAAAAAATCTTGTTATTCAAAAAATTCAAAAAAGAACTACTATAATAAAATCTAATAAATTATTCTATATAAAAAATTAAATGATTTAAATAGATTATGATAAACAGTATTTTCCTACTTGTATATATATATATCATATATAATTTATTTTCTTAAAATTTGTAACGGAATTTGCGACAGAAACAAATTCCGTCGCTAATTTCTAACGGAATTGCGAAGGAATTTCTGTCGCTAATTTTTTTGATGGATTAGTGACGGAATTGTCTGACATAAAAAGATTTCGTCGCTAAATATGGATTAACGACGAAATTTAGTGACGGACAAAAATTCCGTCGTTAATCCGTCAAAAAAATTAGCGACGGAACAAATTTTGTCCCTAATTTGTAACGGAATTTGGTTCCGTCGCAAATTTCGTCGCTAATCAGCTATTTTTTTGTAGTGAACGTAGTATTCACTAATATGTGTACGCTTGAAATTTTGACTGGAAAGTGACTTCAACGGCTGTGTCATCCCACTCCAAGTTGTTCCACCAGACTTGAGATCCCTTGATAAGCCTCAACTTAGCCTTGGCAGAACTGGAATCAAATGGTAACTTCTTTAAATTTGGACAGCGGAGCACTTCGACGGATCTTAAGGAAGGGAAAGACAAGAACCTCTTGCAAATGCTCCTAAGATTTGGGAAGTCCAACAATTCCAGCACTACAAGAGAAGGGAATATAGAATCCAAAGGCTCTCTATCTTTCTCCTTTTATCACTTCTTCTATTGAAGAGCATCTGCGAACAAAAAGTTTTTGAAGGAGCGGAGCATACTTCAACCATGTCAAATGATGTATTGTATTGCATATATGAATTCTCACAGTTTGTAGCATGGATACACAACATGTGTCAAAAGCAGAAGGATCTATCACATTATTCAAGTCCAAGAACTCAAGACGTTGCAGGAGCTTCATTTTTGACAAGGTTGCCAATAATAATGGCCCATTAATTTGGGCATAAACATTGGAAACAATAAGGCTATGCATGCAGCTTGGCAACTTGGCCGATTTACATAATTGGTTGAGGCCACTCCCAGTTCTGATCCCCATCCACAATTCCTCTAAGATTGATGAGCGCTCCAGCCCCTCTACAAATTCTTTCTCGTCTCTCCCATCAACATTCGTGTCAGCTGCTATGTCTAGAAATCTAAACACTTTCAACTGTTGAAGATTTCGTATTAGTCCCAAAGGAACAACATCACCACCAGGTATATGCAAAATAAAAACCTTCAGGTTTTTCAATTTCATCAACTCTCTAGAAATCTCTGAACCAGGAAAGAATAAACGATCCAGGGACAGATATTCCAAACAGTTCAAGCCAACTATTTCTACGGGGATGCGTGCAACAGTTTGGATGCGTGAGCGCCTCTGTACGCCCAATTCCAAGACTTTTAATCGCTTCGCATATTGGATATTATGTAATCCATTTATTTTATAAGCATCGCCAAAATTCAATATTAATGTTGTGAGATTTGTCCAAACTATGCTTTGTATGTATGACTTAGCATCATTCATGATTGAAATCGATATCGTTTCAACCTTTCCCCGATCTTCAACATTAGCTTGAGACATTGGCCATGCATCTTCTTGTACTATAACCTTCCTTTTGTTTTTATCTTGATCACGTGCTATCCATGGTGTCATGTCACGGATGACATCGTGCATCTTAATTGAGCGCTCAACTTTTTCTAACAAGCATGAATGCTTCAACTTTTCAATTACGGATCCACCATGGCAACACATATCATGTACACTTGTCATCATCTCATTATAAAGAAACCCCTCCCCTATCCATTGATAAATGAGATGATGCACTGGAATCTGATGATCCTCTGGGCATAACGCGCAATATAAGAAACATTTTCTGTGTGTTTCATCTGTTAGTTGATCATAGCTAAACTTAAGCATAGAAAACACTTTTGTCTCCCAATCTGAAGCTGTCCATGAAGAGCTTGTTAAGTCATTCTTTGAGTGTTCCCATGCTTCCACACTATTCACACTAGCCATAGCGCTTCCTATCACTGTTAATGTAAGTGGTAGCCCTTTACATTCTTTAGCCATTCCTTTGCTAGCTTTGGAATGACAGGGTCAAATTTTGAAGTTTCCTTGCCAACTCTCATACAAAATAACTCGAAGGCTTCTTCCTCTGTCAAAGTTTCAACCCTAAATTTTGTTTGAGCTTTCATTTTCGTACACACATCTTCAAATCATGTTGTAGATGACACTTTGGATTGAAAATTAGTTTCCTTTGGATGTGGCACTCCCACATTTTCCAAGTCTAATCTCGCACATATATCATCCAATAGCAAGACAAATTTCTTCTGCTTTAAGACTTCATAAATCTTTGCGGCCTTTTCATCTTGGTTACTACAATGATCCCAAAGGTCATCTCCAATCCCTACGCATTTTCTAATGCTGTCCATAATACTACCCAAGTTTGGTCTTTTGGATACTACCACCCACTTAACGTAGAAACCTGATCTCTTTTTAAGTTCATTATTAATTTTCTTTAGCAAGGTGGTCTTTCCTACCCCACCTATCCCATATATAACCCAACGATACCAACATTGTTTTCTTCAATACTTGTCCATACCTTATCAAACATTAAATCTAAGCCCACTGTATCACCACAAGGCATCTCATTAGGCTTATGCGGATGTTTGAGGGCAATTTTAAAATCTTGACAAAATCCTTCTCCTGCAATTTCTAGTTCATCTACATTCCTTAGAATCTTGACAACGTTCTTTGCTAACCTGCAGCTTGATATGCAATTTTTTGGACAACTTTTACTTAGGCATTTGCTTTGAATTTGTTTACTCCCACGATCTTGAATATCTTTTATTTCCTGTGAATATAATACTGTTAATTATTTTCACAATGTCAATCATTCTATACTTTCAAATCAAATTTGAATGTACAGATGGTAAGATCTTGAACATGTGACGAGAATAAGCTTGCTTCTTAAAACAATACAAGCTACAGATTGAATTAAATAATTGTATACATGTCCTAAATATGAAAATTAATTATCCATGTATCCTAAGCATTTGTAAGTACAAAAATTTGGTATGTAAATATTGAAATTTGACGTGTAAATAAGATTGAGAAAACAAATGATTTCTTCTTTTTAAAATCTATGTATAATTATCCCTTAAATTTTTGAAGAAAGCTTAATTAATTAGTAGAGTGTCATCGACTTTCCTTAATAAGCTATTGCTTTTGTTTATCACAATTTCAACAATAATTTTTCTCCATGGCATGAGCTTAGAGAGGTGTATATTTATAGAAAATATGCAAGTATACATCACTTGAATCTTTAAAATTATTAATTCTTACCTTATTTTTTGAGGAAAAACGATTTTTATGATTCTACTTTAGTCAATATCCATGGCATAAATAGTAATTAGAGGGGTCTTTTCACATTTATATGTGGAGAGGTCAAGATGAGAGCGACACTTAGTATTCTGTACCGAAAAACATATATTTTAGCATTGACAGATTTGAAAACTTTTAATATCATTTCAAACAACAGTAAAATACAAGTATAATATATTGGGATAACGTATTTTATTCATTAGCAGGAGTTCCAATTATATATAAATGAAGCAAATAAATTATATACAAAAAATAAGCATAAAATTTAACTAATTATCATTTATTTTGGATATACACCCTGTGGTTCTTATTATAAGAATTTGCTAACTAATTCACACGTACAGGTAAAAAAAAGTTAAAACTATTAAATTTATCATAAAATTCAAATGATTTTTAATATTAACCTCATTAACTATACTAAATTTTAACATCATATTAATTTTCATTCTCTCACTACCTTAATTAAATATGGGCATATGTGAAAGAAACATTTAAAGCTCATTAAGACTATTTTTTCTCTTGCAAATGCTCATTAAAACTATTAGAGTCTTATGAAAAGGACAAAAATTTCTGTAAAAGAGTTTTATAATAAGGATGCAAGGGAGTACTGAATTTCACAATGAAAGTTGTTTTTCCCTGCAACTAATTGACTCTGAAATTAGTTTAAAAATTAAATGATAAAAATTTGCGAAAGTTAGTTATTAATGAAAGAGTGCACTCCTTCCGGTTTATAATATAAGTCATTTTAACTATTTATTAATATCAAAAAATAGTAGTTAATTTATTAAATATGTTTCAAATTGAATTTTTTTTCAACTTTGCCCATATTAAATGAAATTGCAAATGAGAGAGAAAAATATAGAGAGTTACATTTAAGTATTAATTGCAAGGACAAAATTGACAAATAAGTAACTTACATCTCACACCTAACCATTCTTCTAGAAGCGACTTATATGGTGGATGGGAGGGAGTATGAGATATAAGTAAGATTCATGTTTTAAATCATTGATTGCACTTCCAATGACATTGACCATACTTGTAAGGAGCTTTACCACTTCATCCACCTCACTTGTAGCAACTTTCTTATAAGTTCAACACTTGAAAAAATTACAAGTAAGAGGGCCCTCTTATAAATCATTTGCTATACTACAAATGGCATTTAATTTCTTTTCCAAGTGTTGAAATCGTATAGAAGTTGTTGTAAATGGTGTTGATGAAATAGCGAAACTCAGTGAAAATGTTATAATTCCATTGATAGTGCATGATCCCTCTTACTTGTATTTGTTTTCAAATGTTGGAATTCGGGAAGAAAAAAAATTGCTGTAAATGACGCTAATGAAATGGTGAAAGTCATTACAAGTATTGCTAGTACCATTGATAGTGTAATAAATAATTTTTTACAGGATCCTTTACCTTAATGATTATCTTATGTTTTATTTTGTGACTTCTCTATAATTGGGCTTGGTAGCACGATAAAAGCTACGCTTTTCGAAATTAAAGGGTGATGGGATCAAATTTCATCTTGGCCCAAACATAGAGTTGTAGGTGACCAAAACTTGCTTTTAGAAAGGTTCTAATAATGGGGATTAGAGAAAGTGTTGAATTTCATTATAAAGATTTTCTCCCCTTAACTTATCAACTCGAAAATTAGTTTAAAAATTAAATGATAAAAGTTTAGAAAAGTTAGTTATTAAGAAAATAATTTTACGAAATCTAAAGTACATATGTGAAATGAGTTTTATTTTGATTTAAATAAAAATATTTTTAAGTGTTTTTAAGGATTCTCTAATTCTCTATAATTAACTAATTGGGAATATATAAGACCGGAGGGAGTCATAATTATGTGGTAATTATTCATGTAATTGATAGACGGGAGGGAATAGTGTATTTTATTTGTTTACAATAGTTCCCATTACCTCGACGAAGTAAGTAAATTAAATACAGAAAATATCGATAAGATCTGAGTAATATAATCTGATATATTTCGAGTATATTGAATTTCATTATGCATGAAAGTGTTTTTCCTACGACAAATCAACTCTCAAATTAATTTAAAAGTTAAGTAATAAAATTTTGGGAAAGTTAGTTAATCAAGAGTATAAAGTAAAGAGATGTGCTGGCAAAAAATAAAAAGATAAAAACATATCCAGCACCTTAATCTTATTTTTTAAGTATATTTAACATCCTGATTTTTTATATGATGCATCTAGTATCCTTTTATATGACGCATCTAGTATCATGACCTTATTTTCATAGTACATTCAGTACCTGATAATATTATTTTCAGTTGTATCCAGTACAATGACTGGATTCACTAAAAATAAAATGAGAGCATTAGATGTGCCAATAAAAAATAAAATTGGGGTATTAAATACATTGTACAAAAAATGAGAATGCTGAATATATTTGAAGAAAATAAGATCAGATGCACTTTTACCCAGTATAAAAAAGCAAAAGACGTGTAGTATGTCAGACATAATTAATTGAAAGTATACAAGACCGGAGGGCCTAATAGTTATTTAATTTATGCATCCATGATCTAGCTAACCGGCTATGAAATTATTATAAAAATTAAATAATAAATTGAAAATTTCAAATGTTGGTGAATCACATAAAGTGGTTAATGACATTAATAGAATTATAAATATCATTATAAGAGTTGTCAATCATATTATGAATGTTGGAAAAAATCCAAATTTAAAAACTTCAAAAACACGTAGTTAATGGCATTAACGGAGTTGAGAATATTATTGTAAGAGTTGTTAATCATGTTATGAATGTTGAAAAAATTCCAGTTTAAAAACCAAGAAAACATGTAGTTAATAACATTAATGAAAATGTTATGATTATAAGGGTTGTTAATTACATTATAAAAGTTAAGAAAATTTATACTTAAAAACCTATAAAAACGTGGTTAATAGTGCTGATAGAATTGTAAATACTGTTATAGGAGTTGTTAACCATGTTATAAATGTTGAAAAAATTCCAGTTTAAAAACCAAAAAAATGTAGTTAATAACAGTAATAAAATTGTAAATATCATTATAAGATTTGTTAATTATATTATAAAAATTAAAAAATTAAAAAAAATAATTTCCACACTTAGCTTTGGTGCCAACAACCGGAGTCGAAACTCTAGTGGCCGACCCATAAGGATTACTTGAGAGTTTTTAAAAAAGAAATTAAAAGACAATATTATAAATTGGATTAAAGTGCATCCAGTATCTCAAAATATTTTGTGGTATATCTAACATCCCGATTTTTTTTAGGTGCATCCTTTTGCCTTGGTGAAGGATGTACCAAAAAATATTTTTGGATGCTAAACACACTTGGAAAAAACTCTTTAAAGTGTTGGATACACTAAAAAATATTTCATGGTACTGGATGCCTCTAAAAAAATAGTTCAAAGTGTTAGATGCACCACAAAATATTTTAAGGTGTTGAATGCATCTAAAAAAATATTTTGTGATGCTGGATACACCTTAGCTCTTATAAATTTATTAACATTTCAAAATTCTAATTTATAGTCATAAATTTAAGTAACTATTTGAAATTTTGCAAATTCACTATTATTTTATCAAAATTTTTTTGAAATGTAATCTTTAGTACCTTTTGGATGGTGTTGACTCTATT